GCCACTGCACTCCAGTCTGGGCGACAGAGTGAGACTCCAACGCAAAAAAAAAACAAAAAAGGAAAAAAAAAAATCCTACTTCTTTTTAAGTTGGGAGTTTCACTCTGTTGCCCAGGCTACAGCACAGTGGCACACTCATGGCCACTGCAGCCTCAACCTTCTGGATTCAGGCAATCCTTCTGCCTCAGCCTTCCAAGTAGTTGGAACTACAGGCATATACCACCACACCGGGCTAGTTTTTTTATTTATTATAGAGATGAGGTCTTGCCAAGTTGCCCAAGTTGGTCTTGAACCAGTGAGCTCAGGCAGTCCTCTCACCTTGGCTTTCCAAAGTGCTGCGATTATAGGTGTCAGCCACCGTGCCTGACTAATAATCCTAATGCTTAAACTTCAGTATTTTCTATTCAAAGATCAAAGAACTCCCTTAAAGTAAACTCAGGGTCTATAGAGGGGAACTAACAAGAAATAAATACAACCAAACTTATATGTGGGCAATTTAGACGGCTTCTTTATAATAAATGAAACATTTTATTTTAAAATATAATATTTTTGTTACTTTATTCACCATAATTCTGATTTGCACTTCTGATCTTCTTACATACATTAGGTGAATTTAAAGCATTGCCTGACTGGGCGCGATGGCTCAAGCCTGTAATTCCAGCACTTTGGGAGGCCAAGGCCTGAGCCTAGGGGTTCAAGACCAGCGTGGGCAACTTAGTGAGTCCTTTTCTCCATAATAAACAAAATTAAAAATTAGTCAGATGTGATGGTGTGCGCCTGTGTTCCAGCTACTTGGAAGGTTGAGGTGGAAGGATCACCTGAGCCTAGCAGGCCGAGCTGCGGTGGCTATGAGCATGCCACTGCACTCCAGCCTGGTGACAGAATGAGACTCTAATTCAAAAATAAAATAAAATAAAGCATTGCCTAAAAATGCCAAAGTACTTTTATACCCTAAGACTAAAATATAATTTGTAGTGAATTTTTAACATATAATCTCTAAAAATGTGTCAGCAGAAGTGGCAAAAAGGAATAGTAACTCTTTAGAAAGCCAAACACTGTACTCATTTTGAGATTATACCGGCTATTTATCAGCCTCATCCATAAATAAAACAGTATTAACAAAAATGCTAACCAAATTAAAGGGAAGTTAGGGATGGTCAAAAGATTATTAAAAGACAGGTCCTCCAGCAACAAGGAAATGTTCAACCAAAGCTTCCTATTTTTATAATAAAGTACCACAGATCTTACTGCTTTGGTAAAATCTAATTATATATAACTACTGAGCCAGGCACACTGTGTATGGACCTCAGGGTCAGTACCAAGGGTTTCATTGGTACTTGGGGAGCATCTGACCAGCTAGGAAGCTACATGCTCTAGCATAACTATCACAAGTAGCTCCAGAACGTGGGCAGCACAGACTGAACAAACTGGCACAAGTTTTATAGCTATTTTTATTACATATTTATAATATCAAGTAAAGCTAAGTAAGTTCACTGTCACAATGAATTCTTATAACACCTCAATAAACGTCAGGCTTCCAACATAAAGAGGACTCAATCATGCCAGTTATATCAGGTTGCCTGCCAGGATCTATTTATCCTTGGAGGCTCCTTTGGATACAATTCATTTATATTTAAATTGTTTAACAGATATAGACATCAAGACATCTGATCTCAAGCCAGGTACAGTGGCTCACGCCTATAATCCCAGCACTTTGGGAGGCTGAGGTGAGAGGACTGCCTGAACCCAGAGGTTCCAGACCAGACTGGGCAACTTGGCGAGACCTCGCCTCTTCAATCAATCAATCAATCAATCCCCAGGTGTGGTGGCATGCGCCTGTAGCTTCAGCTATTTGGATGGATGAGGCAGAAGGATCGTTTGAGCCCAACAGGTCAAGGCTGTGGTGGCCACAAGCGGGCCACTGCACTCCAGCCCGGCAACTTCAAGTTTTTAAACCCACTAAGTGTACAGAAGAGCAAACATCTAAAACATCAAGGTTTCCCACAAATTAGATTTTTTAAAAAAATCAAAACATATGCAAAAATAAGCATATGCCCACATTCTCTCTCAACCCCCTCACTGAAGTAACCACTCACCTCAAAAAAATCAAAGATGAGTTCCAGGTTATCTGGCTCCATTGTCTGAATGCTGTACTCTGTCCAACGATCAGGTTGTAAACCATAGCCACACTCCGGCTGTGAATGCCTAGACTTAAACTCATTGTCACTTATTAAGGATATCTCCAGGCTATTGGACATTTTGTGATGAACGGTGGGAGACACCCTATCATCATCATCTTCCTCCAGACCCTCTAGTGTCAGCTTTACCCTAATTAAAAAAAAAAAAATTGAAATGCAGAAAGTGGTACAGAAGAAAAACTCATACAAACGTCACCTAAATGTTAAATTTAAAAGTATTCCCCAGATTTGCTAAATCTTCGGTAACAAAATGAGTATGCTATACAAAAACTACACATATTACAGAGTAAGACTTTAGGAGTATTTTATAAAATACTAAAGCTACTGCCTATATATTTCTGCAAAGTAAAAAAAAAAGTGTGAAGATAAAGAAGCTATGAAAGATCTTTGTTAATTTTATTTATGTTAAAGACGTTCTTCAAATAGCTACAAAAAAGTTACAGTCTATCACAAAGAGACTGTATGCTTTCCACTTCCTGGTAGAACAAATACAAAACACAAATATGTGTTTCAAACAGTAGTAGCCAGATGCAGTGGCTCAAGCCTATAATCCCAGTACTTTGGGAGGCCAGGGAGGGAGGTCATCTGATCCCAGGGGTTTGAGACTAGCCTGGGCAACATAGTGACATCTTATTTTTTAAAATATAAATAAATAAATAAATTTTAAAACCGTAGTAGTAATAAAATGTTATATCCAGTGTTTTATGTAAAATCCACAAACTAAGCAAGACACAGTGGTACAAGCCTGTAGTCCCAGCTACTTGAGAGACTGAGGCAGGAAGATGGCTTAAAGGTCAGGGGTTTGAGGCTATAGTATACTATGGTTATGCCTATGAATAGCTACTGCACTCCAGCCTGGGCAACACAGCAAGACACCATCTCCTAAAAAACAATAATAAAACCCCAAAGACAAAAAAATAGATAAGTAAATAAATCATAAACTGTTTTAAGATTTTAAAGTCCTGATGCCCATGCAGATAAACATATTTCCTACCCCATGAAGGCTTAGTATACCACCAATATGAATCTGAGGAAAAAAAGATGATCCGAACACTAATGTCTAGCTATGCATAATTATCTCAATAGGAGTCAAATAATAGTTTATACAGTACAACAAAATATGGCTATAATAGTCCAACATAATTTAAGTCTAAGCAACACAGTGATATATGCAAACACTTCAAGTTAAGTCCTTTATCAATGAGAGTGGTGTTCATCATTTCATTCATTCATTTGCATTTCAATCAGATCCCTGACCATTAATTATCTATTAATTTGCTTAACCACACAGTCAAGGGGAAAAAAAATCCTAATGAGTCAACCAATCAAGACTTCATTTTCTACAATTTTTATTTCAAGGTCCTATTCGAATAAGTCCATTTACAGTTATTGCAGTTAAGCTTTCAATATAACACGTAAAAAAAAAATGCAATTAAAGAAAAGAACTTGGAAAATCTTTGAGGTCAAATGAACCTTGCAGATCAACCATGTGATCCAATTACCTTAATTTTTCAGAAGCAAAGCGGAGGCCTAGGGAAGTTAGGGCAGAGAGACAAGGTAGGTACATCCCAAGCCCTCTACTTCCCATCAGTACAGCCAATGATTGTGAAGTACCACCACCCACACTTCCCTTTACCTGTTTTATGACTAGAATATGTAAGTACTATAATATTTAAGCAGTTATGGTAAAATAACTTACAAGCTATAATATCACTACGAATTTTAATATGACAATAGTAAGTACTGTATTATCAAATACTTCAGCTACTGAAAATGGCCCCAACACTTTGTCAGAAAAGGCTGTGTTACATATTAAGACTTAGAACTCTTAGTTGTGAAGTCAAAAAAATTCCAATGATAAGGTTGTCTGTGTCTTTGAGAAGTCTCACTCGAAGACAAGTACAATGTTATTATAGAAAAATAAAGTTACTTACTATTTAACCATTTGCACAAAACTTGACATCTAGCTCTAAAATTGATATAGATTTTAAAAGTAATCCAGAACTGCTATAACTGTTATCTTTCTTCATGGAAATTTTTCCACCTTCAAGCCATAGTAATATTCAGAACACTGATGAGTATTTCCAACAATCATTTTTTCTGCATATTCCATTCCCCCCAAGCCTTCATTTAGCACAAAATCATGTTATATCATTTTTCAAAACAAACTACTGCTATACTAGGAAATTTTAAATGACAGAAACTATCAAAAATACATCCATAACCATAATCTAAACTACCCATCCACATCAAAACAAATTATCTGGTTGCAAATATAGAGATTAAGACTAAGAAAAGTATGTGTAACAGTAGCAATGTCGGGGGGGGGAGTTGTTACAAAACCCTGTAGTTATTAGAAAATGTAATATTACTGTTAAGTGTGTTATATTCTTACTTTATACTTGTCTTGTTTTTTTTTTTTTTTTTTAAATAGAGACAAGGTCTTGTTATGTTGCCCAGGTTGGTCTCAAACTCCTGGGCTCAAGAAATTCTCCTGCCGTGGCCTCCTAAAGTGCTGGGTTTACAAGCATGAACCACCACACCGGACCTATACATTTTAAAGGCTAAAACCAAATGGGTATGAAATCCACAGCATTTGTGAAAAATGAATGGCCTAAGTAACAAATACCTATAGTCATACCTAAATCTAGATTTTTTTAATTTTTTCTTGGTTATTGACACTGGAGGTTTTTCAGAATAATGCAAACGTAATCTTATTTCAGTCTGACAAGTCAGCCATCCAGAATCCAAAGTTTCAACACCATCTGGCAGAGTAAATATGAAAAACAGTAATTATTACACATTTTTTGAAACAACCCACTAAGTACCAATACACATTTGACAATTCTAGTTCACATTCACTTTTTTTTCTTGAGTCAGGCTTCACTCTGTCACCCAGTGGCACAATCACAGTTTACCATAGCCTCAACCTTCGGGGCTCAGGTGATCTTTCCACCTCAGCATCCTGAGTAGCTGACACTAAAAGTGCACACCACCATGCCTGGCTAATGTTGGGGGGGAGTAGAGACGAGTTGTCACTGTTTCCCAGGCTGGTCTTGAACTACTGGGCTCAAGTAATTCTTCTACCTTAGCTTTCCAAAGTGTTGAGATTACAGGGGTGAGCCACTGCACCTGGGCCCTATTCATATCTTAACATATAGTCATATAACACTGATGTTTTTCTCCCCAGAGCAAATATACAGGCTGCCTTAAGTTTGTCATCAAAAAAGACTTTTGTATAAAGTAGGGGGAAAAGGTTAAATAAATATTAACAATTAACTACATCTTAACAACTTAAGTAAATTAAAATATTCATACTGAATTCATGAAAAGAGTACATGCTGTACGATAGTTTCTAACCTAGCAATGGTTCTGCTGTGGATCATTATTACACTACACTTCCAAAGCTTCACGTGAGATATTCAGCTGAAACTAGTAATGCCACTAGTGTTAAGGGCTTGAGATATGAGAGGGTAAGAATAAAACTGCGAGTCAATATTGTATTTTTATGTTTATATATTTTGTCTTAAATAAACTGCGTGACTGTGACTAGCACTAACCTCAAATTACCTACTAAAAGAAGTAATAAAGCCTTCATAAATACCATAGAATCTATCAACTATTTTGGACTAAGCTTTGTCACCAACAGAGCATATGCATGGATGTGTGTAAACTTTTCTTAGGTATAACATAGGAATGTGTAATTATTGTCCAATTTTAAGTATTGTTTTCAGAAAAAGACAAAATGCAAGAAATGACTTTCCATTCTGAAAGTAAGCTATAGCTGAATTCAGAATAACAGCAACAAAAAATGGAAGAAAGAAATGCTATCCATTATAACCATAAACAGTAATTATCATGCAATAGGGTCAGGCACAGTGACCCAGGCCTGTAAAGCCAGCACTTTGAGAGGCCAAGAAGGGCAGATTGCTTGAGCCCAGGAGTTCAAGACCAATCTGGGCAGCACAGCGAACTTTATCTCTACAACAACATTTTAGAAAAATTAGCTGGGTGTGGTCACACTCGCCTTTAGTCCCAGCTACTTGGGATCCTGAGATGGAAGGATTGCCTGAGTTCAAGAGTTCCAGCCTGGGCAATACAGTGAGACCACAACACAAAAAAACAAAAACAAAAACAAAAAAAGTAAAAAGGAGGGTATAAGCTCATGCATTACAGCTGAAGAAATGAGAAAACTCCTCCTCCATAAAGAAAGTTGTCCAAAACATGTAGCATAAATATCTTTTGTAAATCAAAAAGCACAAGACTCTAAAACATTTAACATGAAAGCTATTCAAGTATCTCAGACTATATTTTAATGTAGTATAAATAATCACAAACAAAATCAAGGAAAAGTTGCTAAATTCCTATCCAAATACTTACTGCCAGCGCATGTACATTTCTAACATATAGTAAAACCACAACCAAAACATTGAGGCCCTGTTCTTACCTGTGCTCAGTAGGAAAGCAAACTGGTTATCAGCAATTTACCTCTTATTCAAGTCCAAGCACACACTCCACCCACCCTCTTTTTCTACCTTTTGACTCCTATAGTATAGTATCTAAACTGAGAATGCAGTTTACCATGATACACCATTAAGAATTCCAGTCACTGAAGAAAGATTAAATTCTCGGGATGGTATTTACTGAAGCAGAAAAGTATACAAATACATTACATTTTCTTTCTTCTTTTTTTTTTTTTTTAAAGCAGGATTTATTGAGAGGACAGAAAAGCTCCCACAGTGGGAGAGGACCCGAAAGGGTTGCCCCCATTTTCAACACATTCATAAGTTAAAGCACTTTCTACTCTATCATAAACTAATTTTTAAAGAGTCAAACATCATTATTAGCTTTGGTTAGTCAGGATTTTAATGCAATTGCATATGCAAACATACAAAATGCACAAACTTATCCTAAGAGTAATGTTTCACATTTCAGATGTTTATACCATCAATACAGTTTCAAACATAACAAAGTTAAAAACACACGATAGCCGGGTTCGGTGGCTCAGCCTGTAATCCCGCACCTTTGGGAGGCTGAGGTGAGTGGATTGCCTGAGCCCGCGGGTTCAAGACCCGCCTGGGCAGCAAGACCTCATCACTACAATAAATCAAAACAAAAAAAAAAAATCAGCCGGGCGTGGTAGCGCATGCCTGTAATTGCGGCTACTTGGAAGGCTGAAGTGGAAGGATCGCCAGAGCCCAGCAGGTCGAGGCTGCGGTGGCAGGGAGCGGCCACTGCACTCCAGTCTGGGCGACAGAGTGAGACTCCAACTCAAAAAAAAAAAAAAAAAAACAAACACATGATATGAACAGTTAAGTATACCACATACTTTTAAATTAATTATGTAAAGTCATATACTTGAAATCACCAGTAAAATAAAAATCAAAAGGATGAAATCCTAAAGCATAAGAATTATATTAAGAACTATTAACAGAAAGTATTTGTTTCTTGGATCTAGTCTCTATTTTCAAAATCACAGTAAAGTAGCTGGGCTCGGTGGCTCAGCCTGTAATCCCAGCGCTTTGGGAGGCTGAGGTGAGTGGATTGCCTGAGCCCGCGGGTTTGAACACACCTGGGCAACTTGGTGAGACCTCATCTCTACAATAAAATCAAAAAAATTAGCGCATGGTAGCGCGCGCCTGTAGTTCAGCTACTTGGAAGTCTGAGGCAGAAGGATTGCCGGAGCCCAGCATGTTGAGGCTGCAGTGGCCGGAAGCGGCCACTGCACTCCAGTATGGGTGACAGAGGGAGACTCCCCAACTCAAAAAAAACCCAAAAATATCACAGTACAGTAATGCATCACTTAAAGATGGAGCTCTGTTCTGAGAAATGGTGTCATTAGGCAATTTCACTGCTATGGGAACATCAAGGATGTACTTACACAAACCTAGAAGTATACTCTATATCATCTAGCTCCTAGGCTACAACATGCACAGCATGTTGCTATACTGAATACTGTAGGCAACTGTAGCACAATGTTAATATCTGTGAATCTAAACATATCTAAACATAGAAAAGGTAATGCATTGCAACTACAGTTGTGCACTGTAACGTTACGACAGCTACAACATCACTAGGTAATAGGACTTTTCAGCTCCATCAAAATCTTAAGGAACTACTGTCTTATATGCACCCTTTAACCAAAATGCCATTATGCAGCATGATTGTATGTTCTATTTCCCTGTATACAGTTCCAATGAAATGTGAAGTAGCATTGCCATCATATCAGTAAATATTTTAAAAACTCAGTCTCACTTACTGTGGATTCCAAATTGTCCATCATCAATAGTAATTTCACTTTCTAGAATTTAAGGAAAATAAAAACGTAGTTAAAATTCATGATGTATACAGAATGAACTGAGAAATTACCCACCTTAAGGATTATTTAAATTATTAAATCTATAACTTAAAAGCAGCCCAAAGTGAATAAGCATATTTATTGTAGCCCTCATAAAGAATTCCCTTTTAGGCTAGCAAACAGTAACAGTTCTTACATTCTTTGGTGATTATTCACAGTGTTACAAGAAAGAGAGAGAAAACTCCTCAGAGAGATGCTCTAGAAGCATTGAGACAAACTGCTACACTCACCAACACACGAGGCTAACAGGTTGCTGGACAATGATAACTTCTTGTCAATTTTAAAACCAAAGGTTTGGCACAATTAAAATGCTTATTCTTATGCAGTGCATATTCTGAACTTGTCTACAATGTCATTCTCCTCAATTCCCAACTATACTCTAAAGCCAGCTAAAAGCTTTACAAACAGCATAAACTTACCTGTAGATAGAGAGCTGTGAGGAACTACCAAAAAAGAATAAGTGCTAGTATAATCCCTTCAACTATTGAGAAAAGCTGTAAAGCCCCACCCCAAGTAAAATACTAATTATCTTCCCTGCGGCTTCTCTTCCCAGTTTACTTTACATAAATCTGAAATATTTGTCAAAATAAATGTGACAGTTCCTAATAAAGATTCTCTGGTAGATTTCACACAGCTTTTAAGTTCAAAAGTTATACTTCCCAAAAGTACAAAATAAATTTCTTCTAAAAGAACAGAAACAAAATCATCCCACTTCCTACAAGAAAATATAGTTAACTGCAAGATGCTTTAAAATATCATTTTTCTAAAAAAAAAAAAATGTTTAGTACCTAGTAAGTTCCAACCTCAGTATGGGACTACTATAATTTTAAGTATACTATCATAAATATACACTATCAAAAATGCATTAAAACATATAAAAAGAAAATCCAATAAAGAGGATGGAATGAGATATCTGTTTAAACAAGATATGTCCTTGCTACAGGGTAAAGCAGAAAATCCCACTGCTTTCTAACCTAAGCTAGGAAATTAGTGAGCCAGTTATTACCATTAAATTTTAACTTTATCTTGAAACTAAAAGATATATTTCTCAGTACTGAGTCAATTTACAGATGAATACAAGTGGGTAATTCAATGTATGTGAAATGAACTTCAGATTCTATTTTCAATATGGATAAGGAAATTCAAAAATACTTGTATGAAGAGAAATGCCATTTTTAGGCATAGAAAACTGAAGTGTTTTTTAAAAGAAAGAAAGAAAAAACAAAACAACAACAACAACAAAAAACCTCTGAATACCAATTCTAGCATAGCCAGCAAGAAATTAAGAAATGTGAATTCACTCATACAAGTTTATTCAAGCATTTACCACTTAAAAAAAAAACAAACAATAAATAGAATAACATATTCTATTACTCTCACTATCCAAAGTTTAAAATTTGAGAGTCTTTGTTATGGATTAATTCCTTCATCAAAAGGTCTCTAAGCCTGAGCAAGTAATCAAGGCCGCAGATGCTCAGTCAAGAATGGTAACTTATAAACTTTCTAACCACTTCAAATGAATATAAATATTGCATAAAAAATTAACCAAAGAAAATAAAAATAACTAGGCAAGCATTTCTAATAAAGTTTATTTAAAAAGACAATTAAAAACTATTTAGTTTTTAAAGTAAGTTCCATGAAATGCTCAGTGAAATTTGTAGTACTGACAATGCATTGACTTTAAACTTTAGAGCAAAAAATGTATTAAATCCCACTAAGCCATTGTGCAGCATATTAGTAACTTTATGCATATGCCTCAAACAGATGCAGTTAATGCCCATACCTAAAGGGGTTATTGATCGTGGTTGTAGATGAGTCTCCCACTTGTGAACTATGACTTGACATGGACCACCGATAGTCTGCAATTTAAAAGTTAAACGTCTGCAATAATTTCTTATATCTTATTTTCTACCCATGACTCCATTAGATGTTTGTGGCCTATGTCTTATACTAAATATGAGACCAAGAGCTTCATTTCATCATCAATATTATATGCCAAAAATCAGGAATGTACTAGGTCACACAACAAGATGAAATGCTGGAAGAAAATGAGGGTGAGACAATAACCAAAGAAAAATGAGATGAACTGACACAGAAAACTGTCTTAAACCCATTCCTAAATCTGCCTATAACACTCAAGTTTTTTCAAAGAAATTATAATTTTTAACTGATACTAATTCTATTGTAATTTAAAACCGAATATACTCTGTTATATCAGCAGTCAATATATGACTTGATGAAATATCCATCTACTGCTCTATTTAATTCTCCTAGTGTTTGGAAAAAGCCTAAACAAGTCTACCAAGAGTAGAAATAGTAGGAACAAGTACTTAAAATCAATTGTTACAAGCTACTCAGGGAAATAATATGCATAACAAAGTTCTTTATTATATTTATTTAAGAATAGTAAGTGGAAAAAAAGAATATCGTATTTCTCATATCACAGTAACCAACAGGGAGGAATCCCTAAAAGAAAGGATATATGTTCAAGTAACTTTGAGGAGTGAATGTGAATTCATTTTATTTTTTATTTTTTATTTTTTTGAGTTGGAGTCTCACTCAGTCGCCCAGACTGAAGTGCAGTGGCCACTCTCGGCCACCGCAGCCTCGACCTGCTGGGCTCTGGCGATCCTTCCACCGCAGCCTTCCAAGTAGCTGGAACTACAGGTGCGTACTACCACGCCCGGCTAATTTTTGATTTATTGTAGAGATGAGGTCTCCCCAAGTTGTCCAGGCGGGTCTCTAACCCGCAGGCTCAGGCAATTCACTCACCTCAGCCTCCCAAAGCACTGGGATTACAGGCTGAGTCACCAAGCCCGGCTGCGAATGTGATTTTAAAAAAGGGAACTAACATTCAGTTTCATTCTTATGTCTTATAATTTGTAAACACATACAGTTTCAGAATTCCTTATACTATCTTCTGTTATCAAGTTCCCTTACTAAAAAAGAAAATAATGTGTTAATATATGCAACAATTTTAAAACAAAAATGAACTACCACCAAAGATTCCCTGAGCACACAATTTTTTTTAATTATTAAAAAACTTCAAGAATCAAAATTGTGTGAAAATAAACCCTTAAATATATATTTTAGAAGCAGAATTTCAAACTGTAATCTTATGAGGTATTAATCTTTTTTACATGCTCTCTGATGAAATTTAATTAAACACAAAGAAGCAAAAAGAAAATACAAAAATCACCCATTATCATACTATTTAGGGTTAATCACTATCAACATTTTCATGTATAATCTTTGAGCCTTTAAAAGGCCTAGAACATAAAAACTTCTCTCTGTATACCTTTAGATGGCATTAAATACTCTTGCATACATTTTAGGAATTTTAACACTGATTATGTTTGGTAATAAAAATGCCAAACAGTAACACATTACTAAGTAATAAAACATAAGAGATCATTCTGTCCCTTAAAATCACCAGGCTAAATTTTGTTTTCTTTTGTTATAGAGTCGGAATCTCACTCTGATGCCCAGGCTGGAATGCAGTGGCACACTCACTGCCACCACAGCCTCGACCTGCTGGGCTCAGGCAATCTTTCCGCTTCAGCCTTACAAGTAGCTGGAGCCACAGGTGGGCATCACCATGCCTGGCTAATTTTGTCTGAATTATAGAGATGAAGTCTCACCATGTTGCCCAGGCTAGTCTCAAACCCAGGGGCTCAGGCAATCCCCTAACCTCCGCCTCCCAAAGTGTTGGGTTTACAGATGTGAGCCACCACGTCTGGCTAAATTCTCTTATGTATGTATGTATGTATGTATGTATGTATGTATGTATGTATGTATGTGTGTATTTATATTATAAAGATGTGGGGTACAATTCAGGGTTAGGTATACAAACGTTGATTATGCAGGTACCCTTAAATTATTTAATATGCAAACTTTTGAAGTTTAACAACTAAAACAGCATTAGATATTTGTTCGAAACATTAATTCTGGGATAATAAATGAAATGTTCTTTTTCTCTAGCTAAATACCTCCTTGCTATAAGGATTCACTTATGAATTAGCAGACTGGTTAGTTTTTTTTAAAAATGTAATGTGAAACTGCTCATCTTAAAATACAGTGAATTTCATATTCATTACTTGAAAAAGACACATTTAATACTATATCTGCTAGGTGTTTTTGCTACAACTTTTTTCCTGACAGATTTTTTAAATTTACTTTTTGAACATCAAACTTTCTAACCCTCAAAACAGGAATGATGTTTCTTAGCAATTGATGAACAGTCAGAAAGAATTAAACTATTCCTTTTTTCCACCATTCCCATGTCCCACTCCCCTCCTAAATCCTTTTCTATAAAGATGGTATGGACCTATATCCTCATAAAGTTACTAATCAAAGATGAGTTGAAAAGGGTGCCATGAATATAATACTAAATGTCAGCAGAAATAAAAATAAAAGGCATTTGTTTTGTTTTGTTTTAATTCAGGTTTTGGGGAACTTTACAGAGTACTGACTGTAGATTCTATAATCATGTAAGAATGGACTTGTGGATTAAATTTGATAGGGAGCATATTTTAATAGCAACTTTAACATATCCACTTTCATCTATTTCAGCAACAAACCCATTATCCACAACATAAAACAGTCTTGACCTGAACAGAGTATCTGAGGAGTGGTCTAAAGGGGCCAGTTCAACAAACGACTTACATCTATCAGCATTCACACTCCACATCCATGTTGGTCAGTACATAAAGTATTATTATATGGAAAAAAACCCAGTTTTAAAATACATTGAATTTTTAGGATTGTTATGACTGCTCTATTAAACTTTAGAAGGTAATCTTAGATTTCAGCTTTACTTAAGTTTATTTTGTTTTGTTTTTTGAGTAGGAATCTCACTCTGTCACCCAGGCTGGAGTGCAGTGGCATACCCACGGCCACCCCAGCGTCGACCTGCTGGACTCCAGTGATCCCTCCGCCTCAGCCTTCCAAGTAGTCAGAACTACAGGTGTGTGCCACCATGCCCAGCTAATTTCTGATTCCATTTTTTTACTGTAGAGACGAGGTCTTGCCAAATTGCCCGGGCTGGTCTCAAACCCACGGGCTCAGGCAATCCACTCGCCTCGGCCTCCCAAAGTGCTGGGATTACAGGCCGAACCACCAAGCCCAGCCTACTTTAAAAAAAAAAAAAATTAGGATCAGAGCATTAGGAAATTCAAAAATCTCAGTGATGACTCCAGAACATGCAATCTTTTCTAAAACATTAACTGTAAAACTCATTCTTCAAGTAACTTCACAAATAAGCATACACAAAATTAGATGACCACAGAAATGTTTTCAAACATGCATATTAACAAAAAGATTTAAAAAATCAATTTGTTTTCACACACACACAAAAAGGCTTGAGGACTGCTTTTTTAAACAGTTACTATCACTCAGCTACATCAACCACTAAAAGGCTATCCAACATGTAGGGAGGGAGTTTGTCAAAAATCACCAAGCAAAATTATCAGCTAGTCCTGTCATATCACTGCTTTCATATATCATGAACTTTGAAATTTTTTTCTGATTGTTTTCTTTCCACAATTTTGAAAACACCCTGCATGTAAAAGGGGATGTGAGGAGCTGCTGCCTATGATAGCCTATAGAGGCCAGGACCATAACTACTTAAAAATCACTGTTTTCTAGTAAGACCAATTAGAAAAATGGTCATCTTGGCATGAGTAAAGGAAAGGAAGCTTTGAACTTCAAAAGGCCAAATCTCAAGTTAACAGCTGAGAATATTTAATATTCAGAAGAATTTTCCTATATTAAGAAACAACTGTACAAAATGACAGCCTAGGCTACTCTGAAAATGAGCAATGATCTACCATGGATGATTCGTTTGTTAAGGGATTTAGTGAGAAACATGGATATGTTACTGAAAAATAAAGACCTATGTCAAAAAAAAAAAAATGAAAAAGAAATTTTAAAGGATATAATGAAAAACTGACTGACATTTCACTAAGAGGAAACATCCTGAATTCTAGCCACAAGCAAAGAGGCGTGGACATGGATTTTTAAAAAGTTTAAACTACATGTTAATTCAAAAAGTATCTTTGGTGAAGATGTGAAATCAATGGACTATCTGCAGACCCATACCAACGTTTTCATTCCAGGAACAGTCGCTACTTTTGTGTGTTTTGTTTAAATAAGATAATGTTTAAACTGTCACCAGTAAAAACATTTTAAAATTCAACACATTAACATCTTATTCTAATTAACAAAGTACAAGAGAACATGTAGCTGTGAAAAATTGAGAAAAAGAATTTCAAGACTCTTAACTTCCAAACTAAAAGAAATATGCCAGAAAAAAGCAAAGTATGGAAGAGAAAAATATGAATGGTAAAATTTTATTTACTCAATAAAATTTTAGCAATGAAAGAGACCTGAGAGATCTACAGTTCAAACCCTTCATTTTACAGATGAGAAAGCAGAAGCCGAAAGATCAAGTGGCTTGTCCAAAATCACAAGGCTTTTAGCTCAGGTTATACAACTGCCTCGTTAGATTACCTCCTGAAACTTCTGACCCAGTAAAATTAAATCTTATCTCCAATTTCAGCTTTTTAATGCTTTCATAATTACTTCACTTTTTAAAATAATTCTTTATACTCATAACATGTATTCCAATCATTTATGTATCATTTCACAATAAAGATGCCTTGCACATTATTTCTATCATTTGGCAATGCACAATTGAGACAAAGTTTCACAATATTCCTATCAAAAATGTTTCATTTAAAAAGCGCCACCAACTTTTTAATGTGTCACGTTAAGCTGGCATGTGGGGGAAAAAAACTGTAGCCATATGCATGGGATTTTATGTAGCTATTTACTCTATTCCATGAAAAACATACTTACCATGGCAGCCCCTGCATCACACGGTACATGTGTACACGATACAGAGCACCTACTTAAAGAAACACACTCACCAACATATACTGTAAACTTTTGCAAGTATTACAAGGGGAAAAACTTGTTTTTATTAATAAGCTGACTTCTTGCCAATTTTCAAAAAGCATTTTGGACTGATTTGCTATTTTTGGTTACATTTCAATGAAGAGGATAAATACGATAGGTTGGCTATTAATTTGACCTGGTTGACAATAGTCTTACTTTAGAAAACTATGCCCAAAGGACATTATCATCTTTCTTCTCCAAACTCCTCAAAGTAAAATTTGGTTGATTTCATGTGTTACAAAGCTAAACTTAATACACCAGGATCCCCAGAGAGGCTTGCAATGTCATGAGTGCTATGACCTCTGTATCTATACATAATTGTTAAAGTTATACTAAGGAACGTCGATGATGCATAACCCCTATGGTCAAATAAACAACAGATGCTCTTTCTTAAGTTAAAGTGAAACTATTGTCAAGAAGAGCCAACAGAATGATCAACCATAATGTAATTTACATTCAATTACTGAGTATTTACAAAATATTCTTGGAATAAGAAACGTAATAGGTGCAAAAGACAGCTAAAATGGGTTTGTCAGTTTTCCTTCTTGTTTTTTAAAATGGTGGCTAAAGTAATGAGTTAACAGTGGCTGCTTGCATTTTTCACATAAAACCAAAGTATTCAATGACCCCCCCCAAAAGAAATACATTTTTTATCAAGATCTAATCCATGTTTTGTTTCCTAGACCCCTGCCTAAACCTTTATTCACATGCAACCCAAGGGTGCCCAAGGTAAAAATCTGAAGGGAAAAAATCCTTTCAGCAAATATCTTTAAAGTAAAATAAAAAGAATCAACTTTATTTTCTAAATACGCAAACAATCCCAAAATTATAAATCATTGTGAACGGGCAGCTTTAGAACTAACAGATATTCCAAAGGCCTTCAGAAAAGATCCTGGACTATCAATACCATCATTGAAAAAAATCTAAAAGAAATCACTTCAATTTTTATCAAAGTTAATGCAGCCACTAAGAGACGGCAGCTACGAAATAATTTTTTTAAAAAACTACTCAGAGCTGGCTATATAATCCTCTAAATGCATTTATGACACATAAGATTAAAAAACAAAACCAAAAGAAAAACCTTTGCAATTGCTTCTTAACTAGTTTACGAAAGTTACAGAAAATGCACACCTATAGAGAACATTCATTTTTCAATTTTAATATCACAGAACATACTTACTATGTCTTTTTACAATTCCATGGCAGACATCATCTGCCTCTGAAGTGGCTACTTCCTTGTTTTGGGTACTAAAATTTTATTAATCAAGAGTTCTATTCCTTATTGTGACCAAAATAAACTCATTTTACTTTCAAGTTTTCAAATTTAAGTGAACTGCTTTTGAAAAAAGTGCTAAAGAAATTGGAAACTGGATAAAAAAAACATACCTTTGGTTCTAAAAAGTACCCTTTGAAGTAGCGATACTGAACTGATACTCCTCTACTGAGTACAATGGTTGCTTTCCATAGCATGCTGTGAAGAAAAAAAAAATTAAAAGCAGCAGCATCAATATCAAACAACAGCACAAAGACCTCTCAATCTTACAAAACTACTCAAATAAAAATCTGTGACCAACACAAATCATTTATTTATACACAAAATTTTATAGGCCTACTGTGCAGCAGGCAATGGGAACAGAGAGATGGGAATTTTAAGGAGCTTCCTTTGTTGTGTGGATAGACAAACAAATAACCAAACAAGATACAATGGAAGTTTTGGAGGAGGTTTTTGGAGGGAAGGTCTTAATGAGGAAGAGATCTAGTGATGAGAAGGACCAGCCTTACAAAGAGCCAGGAGTATTCCAAACAGAAAATACAAGTGTGCAAAGATAGAAGTCAGAGTCAGAATCTTCTCTGACTTCCCACCTATCTAGGGATATTACATGGCTAATAGGAGACTTTGGGTCAAGTCCTTTATGTCACAAGAAAGAGATGAACACTACTATGTTATACTCGTGTTCCTGACTGTCCCTTGTTCTGTCTTGCCTAGGATCTGGCAAATCCCCTACCCAAGCAATCTGTACCTCGCTTCAGCTCAGTGTCTTTCTCTGAACTATGCTACCATAACAGAAACCAAGACTTTGACTCAACAGCGGCCTCAAAGTGAAGAATCCACTAAAATTCATGACTAGAACTGATTTTTAACATCAAATCATAGGCCAATGGTATCCAAAATGTGGTCCCAGACCATCAGCTGGGCACTTCTTAGAAATGCAAATCTCAGGCCTCACCTAGACCTATGAATTAGAAACTCTGGAGGTGGGGTCCAGTAATCTCTGTTTTCTAAGCTTACCAGTCGCTCTGCTGTGCACAAGTGGGCTAGTCCTCATAAGTGATTCTAATGTAGACTTTTGGTTAAGAACCACAAAGCCTCCAGGCGATTCTCATAAACACTTAAGTTTGAGAATCATTGTCATAGACAATTACCCCAACGTTAATTCAGCGTGAGTAGTTAAGTGAATAGCAATTCAAAATGTTCTTCCATAATACCAGATGGCTAATACTGCTCCCCACCTGGTCCCACTAGGCCAGGCTTTAGGGCATTCTCCTCACTCTGATGCAACCTTGGCTACTTAAAAAATATAAGCACACCTCATTTTACTCCACTTTATGAGACTTCACAGATAATTGCATTTTTTACAAACTGAAGGCTTGTGGCAACCCTGCTTCAAGCAGTTGATTGGTGTCATTTTCCCAACAGCATATGCTCACTTTGTATTGTGTCATTTTGGTAATTCTCACAATATTTCAAATTTTTCATTGTTATTATATCTACTATGGTGATCATGTACTACAGAGAAATCATTCATGAAAGGAAGAGTTGATTGATGTGGCAGACTTCACTGTTGTCTTACATTAAGAAATCGCCACTGCCCCTGGAACAACCTTCAGCAACCACGCCCCTGATCAGTCAGCAGCTATCAACATCAAGGCAAGGCTTTCTACCAGCAAAGATTATAACTCACTAAAGACTCAGATGATTGCTAGCACTTTTTAGCATTTTAATTAAGGTATGTATTTTTTAACGTAATGCTACTGCATACTTTAGAATATAGTACAGTATAAACATAACTTTTATATGCACTGGGAAACCAAAAAATTAATGTGACTTGCTTTACTGCAATATTCGCTTTACTGTGGTGGTCTGGAATCAAACCCACAGTATCTCTGAGATATACTTGTATCCATAAGCAGCTGGCACCCATGATCCTAAGCTTCAACAATCAGGTGAATCTGGTAGAAAAATACATATACCCTAGCTCCACCCTGAGAGATGCTGATTGCATAGGTTTAGGGTGGTACCTTGCCATATGGAATTTGATACTTCACAGAGCATTTAAATGTAGATGGCTGGTTGCAAATCACTGCTGCAAAACAAGGACTGCAAATGTCTGGCATATATGCCCCTACTTTTCCCTGATAAGCCTGAGAATCCTTTTCAACACAGGTGTGCAGGCCAACTTTACCGACTCAGAGTAGAAATTTGCCATCTCTGCTATTAAAAAAAAAAAGGCAAAGTCCCAGTATTATCTCATCCACACAACAGCCAGAGTATGTGAATCTAGCCCACATGTGTGCATAGTAAACTTTGAAAAATGTGCTGTGACCCCTCACTCATCCACAATTTCTCTATGTTCAGAAAGAGGATCCAGGCATGTGTACGTTTTAAAAATCCTCCTGAGTGACTCTAATATGTATCTTTGGTTAAGAACCATTAAATGAAAATAAGAAATAGAGGAAGCAAAGCAATGAGTTTTTTTACCCTGCCTCTTCAAGCAAATGCAGCAAAGCTAAGCATGAAATAGAACTGTTCAGTGAAATGAAGACTGGAACACAATCTGATGAGATTCAAGAAAAACCATGAAAGAAGGGCAGTGAGGTGGTTTTGTACAGCTGCCTGATTTTGAATTGCTTTCATAACCTCTCCCAAAATACCATAAAATCTACAAGAAGAGCAAATAAAACCACAGGTGACTCACATCTTTAGCAGTACTGGGAAACAACGCCATGACTTCAAATTATCTGTAAGTAGAAAAAAATTGGAAGAGCCGGTCTCGGTGGCTCAGCCTGTAATTCCACGCCTTGGGAGGCTGAGGTGGGTGGATTGCCTGAGCCTGAGGGTTCGAGACCCGCCTGGGCAACTTGGTGACACCTCATCTCTACAATAAATTAAAAAATTAGCCAGGCGTGGTAGGGCGCGCCTGTAGTTCTAGCTCCTTGGAAGGCTGAGGTGGAAGGATGGCCAGAGCCCAGCAGGTCAAGGCTGCGGTGGCCGGGAGCGGCCACTGCACTTTAATTTGGGCGACGGAGTGAGACTCCAACTCAAATAAATAAATAAATAAATAAATAAAAATAAAAGCATTAAAAAAAAAAGAATTGGAAGACAGCTCTGGCTGCCATGAGCCTGTTGGTAGAGAGAGCTTGTAAGGAAAGCAAGAGATGGTGAAAAGAGAAATACAGAGGACTTAGATGTAGAGTACACTGAAATCCAAAGAAACACAGTGCTAAAACACAGGAAAACAGGTTATCTTGTATCATCTACTTCCTTTGTCCCTTGTAAAACAGTCTTACCTGCTGTATGTGAATCAATTACATTTCAGTGTATATCAGCAACATATAAATGGCTGGTCCTTTAAAGTTAAGTAGTTAAATGCTGTCTCACTTCTGCTCACATCACTTTGACCAAACTAGTTGAAAACTGACTTAAGAGAGACAGAGGTGTGTTTTAGGGACAAATTCAGAAAGACAATTGTTTTCACTTCACAAAGGAGTGGGTTGTCTGAAAACCAAGAAAAAAACAGCCACCTGAAGGGAACACTAGTCCATAAGAGACTAGTGAAGAATGCATACCAATACTATTTACCAACCGAACTCTACTTACAAAAATAGCTGAGAATTGGCCGAGAAAATGTCACACGAATGACATGCAGAAAGGTGTTCAGTGTTTGTTTTCTTTTCGTTAGCTTACATTATGACATTTGTTACTTTCCTTTGTTTAGCCATCAGTGCCCCTCAATCTATCTGCTGTAAAATACCAGTTTTTGCTTGCTGTTTTTATCCAACCCATGTGGCCACCAATACTTGTGGTCTACATACCCAGTTCAATGAGATGTGTCCACAATGACATGTATGGAGTAAAACTGTTAAACACATTTCTAAATGCTTGCTCTCAATTTTCGCACTAGTACGCAGGCCACATTTTTAGCAGCCCTAGTCTACAGGAAAAGAGAATTTGAGTCCAAAGAGACTCATCACCTAATCTGGTGTTTCCCCACAGGGACTCTGGATGTATATGTATGCTACATAGGACAACCCACAACACTTCCAAGTCTCCACAGAGGGTAGAGCCACCTTTGTTGATATCCACTGATTCTATTCTAACCCCTATACTCTGTAGATGAGGCAACTGAGGACACTGGTTCTGCCCAAGATTGCTATTAACTGCAGAAACGTGACAGACACCCAGATCCCCCTTTCCCGACCCATGCTAAGTTCGTGCTAGATTTAATGATGCTAGTAAATACATTTCTTTACATAAGCTATCTAAGTATGTGTTCCATAACCTGCTCCTTTGAGCACCATATACTTCTGAAGAAAACAATTTTATAGGCAAAAGCAAAAATTAATTGGACCTTGTGGTGTTATGATATATATCGGTTTTCACCCATAGTTCCTAGCTCATAACTCCCAAAGCCCTTGTTAGTCTTTTGTTATGATGTTAGGTGTGACAGTCCTCAGAAACAGAATCTCTGTGACTTACTCCTTCCCTAAGGCAGGATTCTAACTCTCCCCAGACAGGGCGCTACCCTATACACTGGGAGAAGGAATACTGACGTCATGAAGCTTCCATAAAAACCCAAGAGGATGCCGGGCTCGGTGGCTCAGCCTGTAATCCCGCGCCTTTGGGAGGCTGAGGTGAGTGGATTGCCTGAGCCCGCGGGTTTGAGACCCGCCTGGGCAACTTGGCGAGACCTCATCTCTACAATAAATAAAAAATTAGCCGGGTGTGGTAGCACGCGCCTGTAGTTCCAGCTACTTAGAAGGCTGAGGCAGAAGGATTGCTGGAGACCAGCAGGTCGAGACTGCGGTGGCCGGAGCGGCCACCGTACTGCAGTCTGGGCAACAGAGTGAAACTCCAACTCAAAAAAATCCCAAACAACAACAACAAAAAAAACCCAAGAGGACTGCGTCCTGGGAGCTTCCAGATAGCTGAACTCCTGGGGGTTCCTGCAAGGTGGCACACCTAGGGTGGGCATGAAAACTCCACAGCCCTTTCCCATATCTTCGTCTATACCCTTTGCAAGATCCTTTATAATAAACTGCAAATGTAAGTAAGCCTTTTCCTGAGTTCTGTGAGCCACTTCAGCAAAGTAATCAAATCCAAAGAAGAAGTCATGGGAACCCCAACATGAAGCCAGTCAGCCAGAAGTTCTGGAGGCCTGGAATTGTGACTGGCATCTGGGGGAGGGAGGCAGTTTTGAGGACTGAGCCCTCGCCCTGTAGAATCTGACACTACCTCTAGGTAAACAGTGTCAGAACTGAATTAGAGAATGCCCAATTGGCATCCGCTGCTTGGTGAGTAAAGGAAAATCTCCACATTGGTCACCAAAGTCTTCTGTGTAGACGATTGTTGTGTTGGTGTGAAGTAGAAGAAAACATGGTTTAGGAAAGTTTTTCCTAAAGCAAATCTCTTATCAAGAACACCACCTTTGGGAGGCTGAGGTGAGTGGATAGCCTGAGCCTGCGGGTTCGAGATTCGCCTGGGCAGGCAAGACCTCATCTCTACAATAAAATTAAAAAATTAACCAGGCGTGGTAGCGCGCACCTGTACTTCCAGCTACTTGGAAGGCTGAGGTGGAAGGATCACCGGAGCCCAGCAGGGCGAGGCTGCGGTGGCCGGGAGCGGCCACTGCACTCCAGTCTGGGCGACAGAGTGAGACTCCAACTCAAAAGAAGAAAAAAAAAAAAGAACACATAAGGAGAAGACAAATGATAACGCCTAAAAATTTTTGTTTAAATAAAAAAGGAAGCTAGGAGCTGTGGCTCACACCTGTAATCCCAGCATCTTAGAAAACTAAGACAGGAGGATCGCTTGAGCCCAGGAGTTCAAGACTAGTCTGGGCAACATAGCAAGACCTCGTCGCTGCAAAGAAAAAAAAAAAAATTAGCCAGGCGTGGTGTAGCGAGCCTGTAGTTCCAGCTGTTTGGGAGGCTGAGATCTAGGATTGCCAGAGTCCAGGAGATAGAGTCCATGGTGAGCGGTGAATGTGCCACTACAGTCCAGCCTAGGCTACAAGAGTGGGACCCTGACTTAAAAAATAAAAAATAAATAAACAAGCCCGTTATTTAGAAATATAGTAGGAAGTACCTAAAGAACCAGTCAAGAAATGATAGTTGAGGTTGAGATTAAGGAACAGAGGAACCTAATTTTTCACACAAATTTTGCAAAACTATTTCACTCTTTAAACTATGCAATGTGACAACTTTGGTAAAAATTAAAACTAAAAAAAAAAAAAAAAATACCAAGGTACCTTAGAAGCCCCTAAAAGTTGATTATGTGAATGTCACAGTTACTCTGTAACCTGACATTTCCATTGCTTACCTTTCACCTGTCTCGTTCTCTGGAAGAAGAGCCACAGCATTCTGAGGATCCCAGTTACCCAAAGCATCACAGCTTCCACATATTGCAAAAACTTCTCCTAAAGAAAAAGAATAAACAGTTACAGTGGGACAAGTAGGAAAGTTTCACATTTCAGTTTCGGGACACCAGAAAAGAGCAGTCAGTTGCATTAGTTCAAACTGATGTAGAGACTCCTTTTGCAGAGCTGGAAAAGTCTCACTGGAGGTTTAGTGTTGGGCCCAGGTACCACACACTACACCTGTGTATTAATTTGACACCTCTCCGGAACCAAAGCCAAAGAAAAGATGGAAGGCACAGAGATAAATTTTTCTTCATTTGTTCTACTGCTCACCATAATAATGGACACCCAAGAATACAGTGATCAAACCACAGCTGCCTTCAAGGCAGCCTCCAAATTAAACAGGCAAACACTAACTGCATGTAAGTATTCTAAAGAAATATTAATGAGGCCAGGTACGGTGGCTCAGCCCGTAATTCCAGCACTTTGGGAGGCTGAGGTGAGAGGATTGCCTGAACCCGTGTCTCTACAATAAATCACAAAAACTACCCGGACATGGTGGCGTGCATCTGTAGTTTCAGCTACTTGGAAGGTTGAGGCAGAAGGATCGCCTAAGTCCAACAGGTGGAGGCTGCGGTGGCCATGAGTGTGCCGCTGCCCTCCAGCCTGGGCAACAAGAGTGAGACTCCAACTCCAATAAAAAGAAATATTAATAAGTATTTTCCAGAAATTCAAACAACAGCCATTAACAAGCTTAAGATTAAGGACAAGGCTGGGCACAGCAGCTCATGCCTGTAATCCCAATAGTTTGGAAGGTTGAAGCCAGAGGACTGCTTCAGCCCAGGAGTTTGAGACTGGTCTTGGCAACATAGCAAGATCTCATCTCTACAAAATAAAAATTTTAGCCAGGCGTAATGGTGCATGCCTGTAGCCCAGTTACTTGGGAGGCTGAGGCAGAAGGATTGCATAAGCCCAGGAGATCGAGGCTGCAGGGAACCATGATTGTGCACTGTGCCACTGCACTCCAGCCTAAGTGACAAAGTGAGACCCTGACTTGAAAAAACAGAAAGAAAGAAAAAAAACACTCCTCAAAGACATATACACAGTGAAGAATCTAGAACCTCTTACTAAATTAATGACTGATATTTCTTCTGAACATGTCTTATCAGCAGACTTTAGAAACCAACATATACTTACCATCCTGTACTTGCTAAGTTTTGTGTATTCAGCAGAATATACTTGGATATAAGTATGTGAAAGTCTTTGACTAACATATCAACACATGCTGAATAATTAAAATTCATAAAGAAAAAGATAATGAATTGAGTCTAAATGCCAATTTGGCTCAAGACAAACTCCTTCACAGTCTGAAAACAGCTGGGCTTCCAAGCATGAAGCACTGCTCTAGAATTAGAGTCAGCGTTAGCCACCTGCACGAGCATTCTATAAGCTTGAACTGTATAAAACTTAACTAAAATTTCAAGTATGAGAGTCATTCAGATATCAAGGCTCTAAAATACACGTGTGTGAAATATGGCATGGTTAAGTTTAAAGATTTCATTTCAAAATACTCACCAATCATTAAAGTAACCAGATTTTTTTGCAATTAACTTCGGTCTCACTAACTTCCCTAATTAAAAAAAAAAGAGGAGGGGGATAAACCATGGAGCTAAAGACAAAGGGTAAGCAGTCATTCCCAAAAGCATTAAGCTGCTATGTATATGGATGGCATATGTTATGGCTCCTGGCTCCCAAGTGCATATTGCCATAAAATCCCTGATTTGGGCCCATGATACTTCCTTTACTAAGAAAGGTATCATTAAAACTCATGGAGTCAAGTTATTTCCTATCCCCACACAAAACAGCAGGCTACTCTCAGCTCTGAAAAAACTGTAGACCCCAAAGGGAAAACATGAAATGGGAGCTCACTGGTTCCCTTTCTTCCTACAGGTGCCCCTGCATCTTACCAATTCCCTCCCACAGTGTTACCTTCTCTTCCTGCTGATTTCCTGGCAATATGGCTTCTGAAAATAAGGAAACTTCACCAGAACAAACAGACTTCTTTCTGTAATTGGCCCTCATCTACAAGATTACACAGATTTGATGCTAACTAAGGAATGTGTGAACAGCACCTCCACATTTTCTTTCACTAGTTTCTTCCAAGGTCACTCCCTCTGCACTCCCTACCTCACCACATTCAGCAGAGAACCGTTCCTCTTGTGCAATGAGGAAATAAGGTGATGGGGGAGTTGAGGTGGGAGACACTTCCCCAACATCCTCTCCCTATCCTGCTAAGTCCTCCTCCTCCCCACTTAGAGTCATCTACATCCATGTCCACCATTCTCTCCTTCCCTCTAAACCCTGAGAATGAGTGTGCCCTCCTCAAGCTGACTTGCTGTGACTCATTTTGGGGTCAGTCCCTTTGCCTGACATGGTCAGCTCCCTCTAGATTAAACTGCCTGCCTAAAACTCTCTGAAAGGGTTCAGTATAGTTCTTGGTCTTCTCTCCATAGAAAGTAACAGGGCGGCCCAGAGGTGAGAACCTGGCCCAAGAAAGCCACTCCATCAGCTGACTGGTAATCTTCAATATGCAGAATTCTGCCCAGAGGTACAACTGTACCAGATCATCTTGGTTAAGAATTCTCATTTGATACAAATTAAAATTACACTGAGATGCCGCCTAACTCCAGTCAGGATGGCCATCATCAACAAATCAAAAAACAACAGATGCTGGAGAGAATGAGGGGAAAAAGGAACACTTCTACGACTGTTGGTGGGAGTATAAACTAGTATAGCCTCTGTGGAAAAGTGTGGCAATTCCTAAAAGATCTAAAAATCGACCTTACATACGACTCTGCAATCCCCCTACTGGGAATATACCTGGAGGAATTCAAATCACTCTATGAAAAAGATACCTGTACACAGTATGTTTATTGCAACATTGTTCACAATAGCAAGAACATGGAACCAACCACGCTGTTCATTGAAAGAGGACCGGATTAAAAAAAATGTGGTACATATACACAATGGAATATTACGCAGCTATAAAGGACAAAATCATGAACTTCACAGCAACCTGGATGGACTTAGAGTCTATAATACTGAGTGATCTATCACAGAACAATTATCATAATACTATAAAAAAAGAATTGGCAGTAGAGGGAATTTGTTGGGGGGGGGACTTCATCAACAAGGGCACCTGCAAAATGAACATTTGTATACCCAACCCTGAATTGTACCCCACATCTTTAAAATAAAAAAAACAATAAAATAATAAAAAGAAAGCTAAAAAAAATTGCATTTGGGCACACTCTGCCAACTGCTGTAATGAGTGCTAGAACAAAGATGTTAGATACAGAGTAAATAATTCATTCACTCTTTGAACAAATATATACTTTGCTCCTGCTCTGAGCCGAGCACTGTGCTAGGTGTAGCATTCAGCATCAACAAGGTCATGCTTTCAGAGTTTATAATCTCTCCACAAACAAAATTACTCAAATAATTCTATGAAATCTCTAAGAGGTGCTACAAAATAGTGCTAAAAGCCCTCAGAGAATCTCACAGGGGCCCTAACCTAGTGAAGTGTGGGAGACAACAGGAAAGTGTGCAGTGGGCACAGATCTAGGCAGAGGAAACAGAACTTGAGAAAGTCAAAAGAGAAAGAAAGGAGGAAGGAATGTAGCAGATTTGAGGAACTGAAAGAAGGCCAGCATAGCCAGAGTCTATAAAACAGGTAGGTATGCAACCCAGGTGTGAGGTACTTTTTTGACAGGCTATCTAACAAACAGCAAAAAATACAATGAAGCTAAAAACAAATTCACAAGTAGGAACAAAGCTATCTCAGTCAAACATTTCACCAACTTCTTGCATTAACAAAATGTCCCTCATTTTCATGTTACCTAGAGATCTCAGTCCAGTCATCGTTGTCCTGTGCAAAATTAAATTCACAGCTTTCTTGGAAAACATGAGGATAAGATAAGGTTTTTGGTGTCGGTGAGTTTATTGTGCTCTGAGCATATTTCTGATATCAGGCAAGACCTAAAGATATTTTCATCTAAACATCAGGCACATTCTAATATCAACTCTATACTCAAGATAATCTAGACAAGAAAAATGCTCATTTAATTTAAAAAGTTGTTTAAAGTAGAACTTTACATACCTGGTAAAAGAGTTCCTCTTATTTCAAAGGTAACCTGAGAAGGTGTCATTCTGATGGATTTATTTTAGAATGTCAAGCTAGGAAGAAAAAGAAAAGCTTCCATTTATATTCAAATATTAGCATTAGATAGTTACCATCAAGAAAAAAGTTAAAGGAAGAACTATACTTATTTTTTTTAAAAAGGACTCTTTAATGTCTTTATAGTAAAACAAAACAAAACAAAAAACCTAACTGATGAGAGGGAGAAAAAGAAATAGGTTAAAAAGCAAAAATGGCCAATGTGGTAGTTCATACCTTGTTGTTTTTGTTTTTTGTTTTTGAGTTGGGAGTCTCACTCTGTTGCCTAGGCTGGAGTGTAGTGGCACGCTCACGGCCATCACGGCCATCACAGCCTCGACCTGCTGGGCTCAGGTGATTCTTCCACCTTACCTTTCAAGTAGCTGGAACTACAGGCACATGCCACCATGCCCCACTAATTTTTTGATTACTGTAGAGATGAGGTCTTGCCAAGTTGCCCAGGCTGGTCTCGAACCCATGGGCTCAGGCAGTCCTCTCACCTCAGCCTCCCAAGTGCTGGGATTATAGGCATGAGCCACCATGCCCCAGTCATAGTTCATGCCTTGTAATCCCAACACTTTGGGAGACCGACGCAAGAGGATCACTTGAGCTCAGAAGGCTGAGATCAGCCTGGGCAACATAGCAAGAACTCATCTCTACAAAAATTTAAAAATTAGCTGAGTGTGGGAACACATGCCTGTAGTCCCAGTTACCTGGAGGCTTAAGCAGAAGGATTGCCTGATCCCAGAAGATCGAGGCTGCAGTGAGCCTTGATTATACCACTGGCTCCAGCCTGGATGATAAAGACTCCAATTCAAAAAAAAAAAAAAAAAAAAAAAAAAAAAAAAAAAGGATGTATGGACCACAAATACACACTGCAAAACAAAAAGTGCTCAGACTTTTTATTTAAGGAGTCAAGATTATCTTGCCACATCTTGATAAGCAGCTGTTCTGAACTCAACCTATCTTTCCTGATCAGGATCATATACTATCATGGTGGAGGTAAAAAAAAACTAAAAAAGACAAAACAAAAACTATAGATGGAAAAAAGCTTGACTCAAGAAAGGATTTCTGCTTTAGTAACAAGGTATCAAATTTAATAACAAGGAAGTAACCAAAGAATTTAAGTAACACCCACTGAAACTATTATTATATTCTACAACAAGTTTGAGAATCTGATTCTAAGACACAATGTAAAGTATCACTAAATACAAACAAACTATTCTCCCACAAACAACTTTTCAGATTTCCTCCTTTTATTTTTTATTTTTTGAGTCAGGAGTGCAGTGGTCAGATCACTGCAGACTCAACCTCCTGCACTCTGGCAATCCTTCTGCTTCAGCCTCCCAAGTAGCTGGGACTACAGGTGTGTGCCTCTATGCCCAGCTAATTTTTTTTTTTTGTAGAGACAAGGTCTCGCTGTGCTACCTAGGCTGGTCTCGAACTTCTAGGCTCAAGTAATTCCCCCTCCTCAGCCTCCAAAGTGCTGGGATTATAGGTATGAGCCACAACGCTCAGAGATTTTTCTCTTTATTAACCATACCACTATCATTACTCAAGTTCAAAAGGTTCAAAGTTAGAGTCTTGTCTCTACCTACCAACTATTACAAAATCCTGTTGATTATATCTAACTGACCTCACATCTGTTTATGTCAATTAGAATATTCTTCCTCACATCCTTGGCTTAGATCACTTTATTTATAGAAATCTAAACTCCATGGTAAGAGAAATTTGAGAAGATTTTTTAAATGGAGAGAGGGAAAATTTCTAAACTCTAACTAAGCCTGTAAGGTTCTTTGCTAATTATCCACATTTTCTCTCCACCTAGTTTTTCCATCTTTCCTGTCTGTCTCAGTCAAACAAATCTGCTTACCATCCCCTAACTAATCTACCAGAAGAAAGATAGAAAATAGATATTTTTAAAAATAAGCCGGGCATGGTGGCTCACGCCTGTAATCCTAGGACTTTGGGAGGCAAAGGCAAGAGGAGTCCCTGAGCCCACAGGTTTGAAACTAGCCTGGGTAACTTGGCAAGACCTTGTCTCTACAATAAATAAATAAACATTAGCCGGGTGTGGAGGCGTGAACCTGTCGTTCCAATTACTTGGAAGGCTGAGGTCAAAGGATCGCCTGAGCTCAGCAAGCCAAGGCTGCGGTGGCTATGAGCATGCCACTGCACTTCAGTCTGGGCGACAGAGTGTGACTGCAATTCATAAATAAATAAATATTAGCCGGGCATCATGGATCACAACTCTAATCCCCAGCACTTTGGAAGATAAAGGCAGGAGAATCGCTTGAGGACAGGAGTTCTAAGCAACAACCCTGGTCTCTACAAAAAGTTATATATATATATATAATAAATAGGGCCGGGGAAGGCTGAGGTGGAAAGAGCACCTGGGCCCCAGAGGTTGAGGCTGCAGTGAGTATGATCCTACCACTACACTCTGGTCTGGGTGACAAAGTGAGACCTTGACTCTAAATAAATTTTTAAAATATATACACATATAAATAATACACCTCAAGATAGTTATATAACTTAAATGGAGAAAGAACACATACTCCACACAAAGACACATCATATTCTGTGTAACTTCTCCAACATCCTCCAAAAAACTTTTGTACCCCATTCCACCAATGCTCCTAAAAGAAATCCAATCAAATCTTTAGTTTGTAGTATTTCCATGAATTTACCAGCTTAAATTTTATTTGCATTTACTATTATTTTACAAAACAACCCTAAAGTACTTTCCATAGCTATTCATTCTACTTCTCCTTTGCTCCCTCCAACCTACCTCCCCCACCCCAGCACATTTGTAACTCTGCAGTGTCATTTAATGAACATCATTACCCACAGTTAACTACACTTCCCAGTCAAGACAGACAGATCTACAGCAGTTCTCACTGAAGGCAATTTTGCCCTCCAGGGGATATTTGGTAACGGGAGACATTTTTGGTTGTCACAATTGGGAGTGATGCTCCTGGTGTCTATTGCATAAAGGCCAGGAGTGCTGATAAGCACCATACAATGCATAGAACAATCCTCCACAAATAACTGTCCGGCTTCAAACATCATCAGGATTTATAATATCTATGGAGGGCCATTATGAGGATCAAGAGTCCAAGTTCAGTGTTAGCTACACACTTATCATTACATTTACACCAATTATAAAATTTAAATGCTCAATACATATATTTTTATTAAGTGTATAATGTTGAGCATTCATAGAGAGAGTGAGAGGGCACAAGACCATCAGTCAATGTGGTGTCATGTCACATTTGGATGAAGAATTCCTTATCTGGCTACTCTACCACTGTGGTTAGAAAATCCAAGACTGCACTAAAGAAAACCTGCCCTTGATCAAAATAATTCCTAAGATATTCTACTTTCTGCATCTAAAAGTAAATATGATCTATTTATAGAACCGACATCGACTTCTAGCACTGGTCAAGAATGCTGTAACCCTAAAAAATAGCTGTAAATTGCTGCCCCTTGGACAATCTTAATAGCTCCCTTTAAACATAACATTGATACGAATATGAATATAGCACTAAGAGTGTGTATGCCCTTTTTTCTAAAAAATAAAATGGTTTGTTAAAGCACTACAATCTGGCCAGGCATGGTGGCTCAGTAATTCCAGCACTTTGGGAGGCCAAGGCGAGAGGACTGCCTGAAGCCAGGGGTTCAAGACCAGCCTGGGCAACTCAGCGAGACCTTGTCTCTACAATAATAAAAATTAAAAAAAAACTAGTCAGGCATGGTGACAGGTGCCTGTAGTTCCAGCTACTGGAAAGGATGAAGCAGAAGGATCGCCTGAGCCCTGCAGGTCAAGGCACATGGTGGCCACGAGCATGCCACTGCAGTCCAGCCTGGGCAACAGTGAGACTCCAACACACACACACACACACACACACACACACACACACAGCTGCATCTTACATTTAAGATATATGTAAGATATAACATATCAAGAAAATTTAAGGCTAGTAAAAAAAAGGGCTTGGAATTTAGGCTACTGAAATAATCTTAAGAGACAGCAAAAAATTCTAACACCCAGGAAAAGGGCTGAATGACCAACCTTAACCTATAACATGTACTTTCACTCCCTGTTTACTACCACAGTTCTCAACTACGGACAACCTACATGATTACATTACATAGTTGGTGTTCAGCTATCTGTCAATCAATTTAAAATAACCATTTTAAACAATTTAAGGGAAATCAGATGTTAATTATTCCTGTGCATTAACATCAACAGCTGGTACAAAATTGTCTCTAGACTTCTACATTAAGACAAATAGAAAACTTATGTAAATCTAATAGAAGGGATATCAACTGATTATTAAAACTGAGTCATTCTTAAAGTTGTTTATGTGAGTGACTACAGTAACTTGGCAGTAAACAGCTGCAGTAAATGTACTCTACAAAGCTATATACACAACACAAAAACACCTCCCAAAAACCTCCCCAAAGTCAACAAAACGTCGTCTTCCATTTACAGTACCCAAAGTCAAGCAATCTGGTTCAATTTTCACCTGCCACCCCCACCCCCAAATGTAATACCATACCAAATAAAAGCCTGGGGAGCAGCTCCGATGGCAATTTACTTGATTATGGACAGAAGCCAAAATTCTGGTGCAGTGCTGAAGCATATAATTTTGGCACCCAGTTACCACCAAAACAGCAGTGACAGAGTAAAAAACAGTTCTGTGTGGAATGAAAAGTTTGTACACACACCCATACTTCTTCCTCTTCTATACAAGAAAAAAAAAATCCCAACTTGAAGGGAGGAAGTCTTCCAGATAATACACAAAATGAGAGTAAAATGAAAAGTGCTAGTCCTTTAACGCAATGAGCTGTTTAACCATACAGATAATCAGCTCACCTATCACCTCATACACAGACTATACTTCCTCAGACAGGTTTTTGTTACTTTCAATATAACCTTCATTTTGTACTTTAAGACAAATACTAAAAACAGCATTCTCATCTGAGATTCTGTGTATTATTTAACACCATTTTAAC